ACTGAAAGAAACTTTAATTATTGTGAGAGAAAATAATAGACATCTGAATTTTATCGATTACATCGAAAAAATATATCTTACAAAAATACTTCCGCGGGTTCAATACTCGCCTAAACCCTTGATGTATTTTTATAATGTCCATCTGAGATTTGTGCTAGCTATTCAACAAGGTCTTTGGTAATAAGCAGTGTGCAAAGAAAACTATAGATAAATAAAAAAATAAATGGCCCACCCTAAATAATCCTTGACATAATGATCAGATCTTCACGTTCTAGGATTCAATGTTTTGAGAGGTTGCCCTCGAATACACTAATTAATTAGTGCAGACGTTTTTGTGTCTGATTTCGTAACTTAAAATATCGTCTGCACTAATTAATTAGCATATTTGAGGCCAACCCCTCGAGCCATTAAGATTGAATTCTAGAACCTGAAAATACGATCATTTGATCCAAAGTTATTCTGAATGGTCTGTTTTTTATTTTTTAGCACTGTACATTGCGCAAAAAAATTAATGGATCGGTCGTAATAATTTTTGATCTAATGCTCGGATCTTTGCGTACTCAAACTCATTCCTAATGGTTCGATGGGTTGGCCTCAAATATGCTAATTAATTAAGTTCAGACGATATTTTAAGTCATGAAATTAATTAACGTATTCGAGGTCAACCGCTAAAACCATTAAACGTGAAGATCTGATTATTATATCAGGGATTATTTTGGGTGAGCCATTCATCTTATTTATTTTTATTTATGAATTTATTTATTTATTTTATTTTATTTTTTGCTCGCTGTACATTACATAAGTCCTTGTGAAGTTGTATTTTGTTCTATAAATGATAAGTTATATTTTGCAATCTTTAGATAAATGAATTTTATAATTGTGAGTAAAACAATTTCAATTCGTTTAAAAAGTTCTCGAGATCTGGGAAAATTCGCAAAAGATGAAACTAACATTAAGGGGTCCAAACTTTAAATCGCTCTCTTAAACAAACTACTGACACCATATTTCCCAGATTGCGGCTGCCCCCTACATTTCGGAGTTCAGAAATTCGAATCCATCTAGAAAAAAAGCATGTTTATTCAGATGAAGTACGTTTTAGTCTCTGATTTCATAACTTAAAGAATCATTTGCACTAATTAATTATCACATTTGAGGTCATTCTTTCGAACTTTCAAGATAGATTTCCAGAACGGAAAGATCCGAAGTTATTTAGGGAGATTCGCTTTTTTTTTTTTTTTTTTTTTTTTTTTTTTTTTTTTTTTTTTTTTTTTTTTTTNTTTTTTTTTTTTTTTTTTGCACTATCACACAAGCCTGCATGAAGAACAACAAATAAAAAAATTTTGTAGTTCCTAATCGTAAATGTTTACTAAATCTAATCATGCACGCGTTTTGTGTAAAATTTTATTTTTATATTTAAATTGGTAGCATGTTGTATGCTTTCTATATATTCCTTGTATTTATAAACTTTATTTATAATAATTTTGACCACCACTATTTGTTTAAAAAAAAATTTATTAAATAAATTAATATGCAAATCAGTATACTGTGTATGTGATATGTGGTAATATGTACATAAATTAATATGTGAGAAGTTATTTGCTTAACACGTTCACGCCGGGGTGTCTCATCTCGGCAGCGCATCGGAGTAAATACTGGTAACAATAAATTTCATTTTTTGGTTTTTTTCCGGGAATAATAAAAATCCATAACTACCAATTGTTTTTAACGGATGAAATTTTCATATTGAATTGTTTCTTCGCCGTGATAAATTTCCTTACAGTTAATTGTTGTTGTTGAGAATAGATTAACTCCTCCCGAATATTATCTAATATTGAAATAGTTCTTCTACCAGTATTTTCTCTTTTCCCATACCAGTATTTTCACAGCGTGAACGTGTTAAACTTCTTAAAAATAAAACGTATGTTTCTACCTAAAACTGTAATTCATTTTACTACTACTGAGAAAAATCACCTTCAAATGCATTAAATGTTTGCATTGGTTACTAACAATAAATAAATGCATTTACGTTTTGCACAAGCGCAAGATTTGACTTTTCGTCCTTTAAAAAAAAATTAGTTTTGATTTAATTTCACACTTAAAGGAGTGTTCTCACGGCTGCTTTAAACCCACTTCCTCTTTTATTCTTCAGACTTTTTCCGTGTGGGTGGAAATAGTATCATACACCATTTAATGAGATAAAAATTGTTTTTATCACACATTACATTAGAAGTCGGCTCTTATGAATCCTTGAGTTGTTTGAGAACCAAGGAAAAATTAATTACATTAAAAATTCTATTTGAAGGTTCACTTAAAAGCATGTAATGGATACAGTGCAATAGGAAACTTCAATATAACGCTAATACTCTTAATATGTTTCTTTTAAAAGGTTATTTAGCCATTCGTTTCATACCATTTAAGCCCAATATCATTACAAACACGACTTTTTTCAACTATTTTCTAATCATTTGAGTTGAACTTATCTGTGTCTAGGGTCTATGGCAGAGATACCTACTTGCTCCGTTTTGTAAAAACATATTTTATAGTGGTAACGAAGTTTAATTAATATTTAGTTTTGTATTTTTCATTTTTAATAATTTTTTTTACCACTACACCAACAGAAATTTAAAGTATCATATCAAATGCAATTTTATTGCATATATCTCGTGGTGACACTTTTAAAGAGTAAGCGTAATTATCTGTACTTAATAAGTTTTACTATTTAATTCGAAACCAATTTATTAAAATTTACGCCCAATATCATTACAAACACGACTTTTTTCAACTATTTTTTAATCATTTCAGTTGAACTTATCTGTGTCTAGGGTCTATCAGAGATGCCTACTTGCTCCGTTTTGTAAAAACATATTTTATAGTGGTAACGAAGTTTAATTAACATTTAGTTTTGTATTTTTCATTTTTAATAATTTTTTTTCACCACTACACCAACAGAAATGTAAAGTATCATATCAAATGTAATTTTATTGCATATATCTCGTGGTGACACTTTTAAAGAGTAAGCGTAATTATCTGTATTTAATAAGTTTTACTATTTAATTCGAAACCAGTTTATTAAAACTTTTGCAAAAAACCGAACAGTTGCATCCTAGCAATGTTTTTTTTTTTTTTTTTTTTTTTTTCACAAAAGGAGAAAAAAAAGCTGTAGCATGTGTATCTCCAACGCCTTCTATAACTGAAAGCCTCCACACGGTTTTTTATAAGTAGTCCGATCAGACCACTATGAAGGATATCCACTTTCCGAACGAGTCTTTTATTACAAAATCTAGTTAAAATAAGAAAGTGGTAGCAAATATATGACTAAAATATGTTTTATTTATGAATATTATTGGTTTGCCTTATTCACTTGTCAACCACTACAGATTCAATTCTCAAATATATAAGATGAATTACTTTTCATTTACTTTTATAAAAGGTTTTGGGTTCATGCGCACAACTGGTTTACTTTTTAAATAGTCTGCGCGGACTACTTATAAAAGACCGTGTGGAGGCTTTTTGATGTAGGAGGCGTTGGTGTTACTCGTCACGCAGGTGCCGACTTGCTCACGACAGCGGATAAATATTTTCGAGTGGTAGTCTTTTAATGTATGTTTCTTGGTTTAGTAAAGCGGATTTAAAGATATTTATTTATCATTATTTCAAAACAATTCAAAGGCTTATGTGATACATCACTTTGTTACAGTAAGAAACGCAGTCATCACCTTCTTCACCAGATAGCCTCCACACGGTTTTTTATAAGTAGTGTGCTCAAACTATTCAAAAAGTTAACCAGTTGCACGCTTACCCAAATTCTTTTTTAAAAGCAATTGGAAAAAAATTATCATATATATTTGAGAATTGAATTTCTGGTGAGCAAGTAAATAAGACAACCAATCATATTCATAAATAAAAAAAAATTTAAGAGATATATTTGCTACCACTTTCTTAATTTTACTAGATTTTGTATTAAATGCCTCTTTTGTACAATGTTTACCTTCATTGTGGTTTGATCAAACTACCGATAAGAAGCCGTGTGAAGGCTTTCCAGAAGTTGAGGACAGTCTCCATGCGCTTGCTTATATTAGCATTACTACTATTATATCTAATGCTTGTGCAGTCCATGCAATAGACTAAGCTTAGCTAACAAAGATAAAGTTACAGTTAAAATAACCAAAAAATAATAATTTCCAAATTATTAAAACAATTAAATGAAATTAAAAAATTCCTCTGCAGAAAAATATTAAAACAAGCCGAACTCCCGAATCAAAAAAAGTTTTGAATATGAATGATTTTTTTTTTTTCTTTTTGCAAACTACTTTTTTTGGATTCTATATTTATAGAACAAATATAATTCCCATAATCTAACATATTTTTTTTAGCAGCTATTATACAGTTATTTATAAATAAATAAAAAAGTACCAAAATATATTTTCGCTTGTAGTTAGAGCATCAGAAAAAAATTATTATAGGGGTACCGGTGTCCCATCTGTGTCAAATGGTTAATACATTACACATGATTCATTTCACATGTTTAGTATATTTTTCCAAAGTAGCGTTAAAGTTTGCAGAGTTATCTATAACAGTCACACGAAGAAATCAATCAAATTTTGTTTATTCAAATGCGACATTTGTTAGTCTTAAAATTGAAATAACATGTCGAAGAACAAAGATTCAATTGTCAATCGAACCAAATTAATCCCACGAAAATCCATTAAAGTTCTGAAAACTACTTCCAGAATAAAACCAAAATAATTGCCAACATTTGAGGAAAGCAGTTAAAGTGATTTATTTTTTACTTCATTCTTTGTCTCATGTATTTATTCATGTCGATTTTTATCTCCTTCAACATTAAGCAACTGAAACCAATTTCGAAGATAATAAGAAGTTTAAAGTCACTCCTTACTACGCATGGAGGAAGGACTGAAGGAGGAAAAAAAAAATCCTCCTGAATGATTGATGAAGACAGGGATAAAGGGAGGAATACAAGAAAGAAGGGTGTCACTCACGTGGGTCACCAGAAGATTCGAAATGACCGGATGTCAAACCATTGACTGGAACTTTGACGACAGAGTAGAATCCGTAGAATAGGAAACCAGTGATGAAAGCGAGAATGATGCATCTGTAAATTAAAAATTAAATAAATATTAGTTTTTGTTTTTCTAATTTGTGTGAGGCAACAGAGAACGGCGTCTGTTCTTAATTGTGATGAATGACGACTGAGCAACGGTAAATTAGAATATGTGACATGTATTTTTTTCACGAATTTGTGAAAGTTTTCCTTTATGTTGATCTTTATTTCATGGCTCATTAAGAGTCTAGACTTATGTTACATTCAACTGAGGAAGTCTTTCGGCAAAAAATATATTTTTGAAACTTCTTTCTATCATTTAATCATTTACGAAAAATTTACTTAGGAATCGGATTACAAAAATTTTCTATATTAACATGATGAACTAAGAAAAAAAAATTTTAGTTTATTGAAGTTATACTTCTTATGCGACTTCCAACAAGGTTGCGTTAAACGTTTAACGCTAAATTTTTATTGGCCGGGAAATCACGTGGTAGGATCGAGTTTTCCCTCATTCATTTCCATAATGTTTTGGTTCTCACTAGCATAAAAATAATAAAAGTATTGTTTTTCTATAAATATTTTTTTAGTTTGTTTTGATACACATATAATTTAATAGGGTAGTATTTTTTATTTTCAAATTTAGTGGATAACAATTGTAAAAAATGAGTGAAAACAATCCCACGGACAATGCGACGGATTTAAGGTTATGTCAAGGTACGTCTCTTGTGAATATCAATTGATTGTTAGGTTTTCTCTTCTGAAATTACATTATGACGCATTCACATACATTATTAATACAAATACATTTTCCAGGGCGAGACTATGAGGCAACCACAAGCACTTCCACTGGTTCAAGAGGTCCACGTGGGAAAAATGCACAATATTACCGTGATTACAGAGCACGGAAGCGAGCGGAGCAGGAAAAAGAATCGTTGAATAGAACTAGTGATCCTTCCACGACTGTTGATTCTTCTACAACTAACGTCGCAGGTAGCGAAGTTTAACTTCTTCCGCGCGGAGGGACTCTACGCACTATTTTTTTTTAATCACATATTTTGTCCTTTACTTTAATTCAACCAATATTTCTAATAAGGATTTTTTTTTTTTAAAAAAAAGGAAAAGAAAACTATTAAGGTATCTGACTAGTGTAAAAACATGATTTTGGGCAAAATTTTCGAAATTGAGTTTATTATGAATTTAGAATCCTTGTATGTTTAACTTTTTAAAAATATTTTACTTTTATTTGTACTTGAATTATTTACAAAGTTTGTACATAGTATAGTACAAAGTTAGTACATAGTACAGTACAAAATTAGTACATAGTACTTTACAAGGTTAGTACAAAGTTAGTGCATAGTACAGTACAAAGTTAGTACATAGTACAATACAAAGTTAGTACATAGTACAGTTACTACAACAGTAAATAAGACTGTAGACTAATTATTTTAAGTCTTTAAATGCGTTTATCACAAAATCAGAATTTTACGCATTTTACTCTTTCTTAACGCGTTGAGCGCCGCGTCAGCCACCGGTGGCCGACACTGGACTTTCCATTTAGTCCACGTCAACCACCGGTGGCTGACACTGAAATTACATTTAGGCCGCGTTAACCGCCGGTGGCTGACACTGAAATTACAGTAGGCTGCGTCTGCAACAGCTTGCTGACACTGACCTTTCACATAGGCCGCGAAAAACAGCTGGCTGACAGCGTATAACATGATATAGAACTATAAAATTTACACTCTTTTATGGAATTGCAGAAAATTTATTCAAAACTTACTTAATTATTATGATTTTTGGTTTAATAATTCAAATTAGTAGATTTTTATCCACCACTATTTTTAAACAATTCGTAGGCTTATATAATTCACCACTTTCATATGAACATTTTTAAAAAAATACTAAAATCTGTCTAATATTTGTAAATTTAGTTTGTAGTTATGTAAAATTAGCGTAGCGTTCAAATTATTAAACACGATTTCTCAAGTTGTATTTAAAATAATTGTCTAAGATTTTTCATGAATGTTTATGATTATAGTGCACATGTTTTGAGCTACACACTAAGAGAAACAAGAAGTAGAATTTTATTTTTTATACATATTGGTTTGCAATGACAATTGAAAATTTTTTTAATTTTTTTTCAAATGCAATGATTTCTAACTCAGTAGTACTTGCACTTGTTTTTAGATAATAGTTCGAAACATAAATTATAGCCTTCTAAATAAAATCTTCAAGGGATTTTCTGTTTTAGGCGATAGATATTTTTTTAAAGGGGTTTAGTGTATAAGCAAAAAAAGCTTTATTTTTAACTAAAAATGGCAATTAAAATAATAATATAAATATATTTTTTTTTTGCGAGTCATATAAGTTTTTACACATAATAAAACAAATACGGTAATTTTTTAAAATTTTATATTAATATTTTTAAAAAAAAGTTGCTGAAACTAGTCGGATATCTTAAACACATTTAAAGTTCACTTTGAATGTTTAAAATGTCACTTCTTCCCAGTAAATCTATCCTAGCGCCCTTTTAAAAAAGATGGCACTTTTTTACAAAATGTTTTACTTTTGTTTAATTATTACCATTTATTTTTCAGAAACAAGATAATTCTTTATCACAGGAGTTCTCAATTTTTTCTTATTATGAATCCTCAAAGGAACGTCCTTCTTTAACCCCCGAATAACTTAACATAACTCTTTAGCAATTGAAAAAATTTTTACTTAAGAAATCCTGTTAATCATCATCAAAATATTTAATATGAGAAATTTAATGAATTTTGACCAGTATAAACTAAATGTTATGTCAGGCAGTTTACTTTACAGGTCTGGAGCGGCATCTATAGCCTATTTCTTAATTTTTTTTGGCAGTATGCTTGTAAATTGTAATAGTGCGTTTATGTTTGGATGTAGGAATTGCATTTTATTAAGATAGCACTAAGTTATTTATAAATCTGGGAAAATATAGTTTTAAAAAAAAAAAAAAATGATTTACAGAGGTTAAAAATCTATTAAATTATCAATGACTATTTCGGGGGCGGAATATCCTGATTGGTAGGGTGCATTCGTGAGAACGTGAGTTCGAATCCAGCCGACTGAAGATTCCCTGTGTCGTAAATGGTGACTGATGCTCGTTAAATCTTTCGGGTCACAATATCCTCCATGTTCCCACAGTAAATTATATCTCTGGGGTTACTGGAGTGCATATTAATAGTTCTTTGGTTCAGGTAAAAATTACGATGTGTGAATGAATGAATGGATCCGCCCTGTAAACGGGAGTGACGTATGGGTGTGACGGAAGTCGAATTTCTGGTCATAGAAAACAAGAACTCGCCACTCGAAAACAAGAACTATCGCACCCTTAGTGCGTTAATGGCCTGATGATTTTTTCAGTTTCATTTTCTCATTTTCCGGATTGCTTCACCTCAACAACTTATTTGTTTCGTTCGACTAAATAATAATACAATTATGTATCATTTAAAATTATTATTATTCTAATTACAAATTTTTTCAAATGACTGTAAAAAAATTTTTTTTCTTCTGAAATTTCACTAAATTATCGAAATAGTTTGCTTTCCATTTATTTATCATTATCAGTAATAGACCGCCTATGAGTTTCGATGTTAAGATCTAATTATTTCACCGACATAGTATTAACTTAAACTTTTTCGACCAGTTCAGTGAGCTGCAATTTATAAAAATTAAAAGGAATAAACTATTATTTTTTCTATAGTCTCAAATTGAAATTTTTAATTTTAAAAATCTCTGGAAAACGAACCGCTTTCTTTTTCCAATTAACTCGGTTTATTTACCTTCTTAAAGTACAGAGGTTGGACAAACATATAGAAATGCTACTATACTATCTCTATGCAAACAACCTTTCTTTTATGCAGTGGAAGATTTTACATGGTAAACACAAACTCTTTTTACACAATTTGAAAGATCGGGCTTGTACTTTTCCTGAGAGGACGACCTTTTCATATATGCAAAATTTGAATCAATCAAAACGAGACTTGGAAATAAAAATCCTTTCTCTTTTTTTCAATATCACAATAAGCAAAAAAGTATTTTAATATTAACTTACAATCCTGTAGATTTCGGAATTGCCGGAATCAAAATTTAAAAAAAAATTATAAACTACCTCTACTTATTTTGGTCAATTCGAATTGTGCATGATTAAACAGGACACCATTTCTAAAAGCTTCCAGCATGATCTTTCAAATTGTGCGAACAGTTTTGGCATATAAAATGTCCCAAAACAAGCGCTGATAAAAGAAAAATTATTTACATAGAGTTACTATAAAAGTTTTTTCCAATTTTTGGCCATCCCCTGTATTTATGGTTAATTGAATTTAAGATTTCAATTATCGAAAGAAGGAAGAAAGAACAATGCGTCTCACTGTTTTCAAAACAAAAATTAGAATGAAACAAAGAAAGTGTTGCCAGATACATAAAATATAATAACACACAATAAACAAAATTGCCACTCAATACGTAATGTTAATTGAATTCTTGATTTCCAGCACGGTCGATCCGAATTTTGCATGGATGAAAATGAAGTCATTTCTACAAACTGCAAGCATGATCTTGTGCCAGTAGTTTTGTCACCTAAAATTTTTCTAAACATCTGCTTCGAAACGAATATTCTTTATGCAGAGTAAGTATAGAATTGTTTCCATAATTTTGTTCTCGATTCTTGTAAATATTTATGTATTCTGTATCAGTAGCTGTTTTTTTAGATATTAGTGTAAGATAAAATGCAAAAATACTTATGTTTTATTTAAGCTGGTTGGAAAACCCCCGAATTCCTTGTTTTTCTGCCAAATACCGCATTCGCTTCCTGAAGATTGCCATTTGGAAACGCTCCAAAGTGTTTGGAACAAAATATATTACAGCTGTAACTTATTACTCACGAGGGCTACCCTGTCTTTAAGTGTCGCCTGTCTCATTTCTTAATCCTACCGCAAAAAGTAGATTTTTTTTCCTGACTTAAAGTTCTTTAAACCTAGCACTTTTCATCAAATGGATATAAAGTATAAAGTCGTAAGAAT